GTGGGGGTGCGGGTATCTCCAATTCACTGAAGTCTGACTCGTCACTGACATAGAACAATCTCCTCCTGATCAATAACCTCCTCCTGATCGTTAGAAGCCTCAAGATCGTCTTCAAAGAATTCGACATGTTGAGGTTCGACAGGATCACTAATTGATGCAGGAACTTTGGTGTTGGTCTCGATGAATTTCACGTTCGTAGTAGTGAAGATTTCGGAGAGATCAGTAGTTATAACGTTATACGTGTTTTCGTGGCTCGTGTAGCCCAGAAAATAACAGCTGACAGTTCGTACGTCCAATTTGTTTCGACCCTTAAGATTTTCTGCAGGTAACCTAGAAAAACCTTTTGACCCAAAAATAACCAGGTTACCAAGATTTGGCTTGATACCGGTAAACATTTCGATTGGAGTCATGGAATCGTTGTGAACAACGGGGGATCGATTTGAAACATACGTAGCGTTGAGAATGGCATAGGGCCAAAACGCTTTAGTTAGAGGTGAGTCGTTGAGAATGGTCCTGGCTCGATCGAGAATAATCCGATTAGAAACCTCCGCCATCCCATTTTGCTCGTGCTCATAAGGTACTGAAACTTGCTGCTCAATACCGAGTTCGACAATGAAGTTTTTGAATACGCCGTGGATAAATTCCTTGGCATTGTCAGACCGAATAACTTTCAATTTTTTACCGGACATTCGCTCTGCCCAGGTAAGCCATGGTTTAAAATATTCGACAATTTCGTCGCCAGAACGCCCTTTCATCGGAAACGTGAACCGACACAGTGTGGCATCGTCTGTTAAAACCAATATTACTGTTTCCCCATTTCGACCAGGTGTATTGATAATTACGAAATCCATATGGACCAACTCGAGTGGATATTTAGATCGTGGATTTCCAGAACTCTTGAATGAACGCCTTGTCATCTTATTTTCGACACAGGGGTCACAGTGAAAGCTAGGTGGTACTGGCGGCACTTTGAGATTATCAACGATTTTCGACAATTTCAGTATACTCGCGTGGCTGATGTGGCACATGCGTCGATGTAGAATTTCGTAATCGTTTTGAATAGCTGATAGAGCTGTACCGTTGATTATGACCTCAAAATTCATAATCCACCGATTGTCAACTTTGGTTGCAGTCATTACCTCCGTGGTATCCTTATAAAAGGTACTGGTCCCATTTTCAGTGACTTCTTTCAAACCGTGTTTGTCCAACGAGATAGTAGACAACAAATTGAATTTGAAGTTGGGTGCGTAGATTACATCTTTGAATTCGATCCGGTGAGTTGTACCATTCGATAATGTAGCTTCGACTTCAACTGAACCATGACCGAGTGTAGTGTCCAGTTTTCCATTTGCAATCTCGACTTGAGATTTTCTTGCAACAAAATTTTTGAAAGCGTGACGATTGTTACAATAAATGTCTGATGCGCCACTGTCTTTAATCCAATCTGACTTTTTGATCGTCTCTGAGGATTGATATTGATGCTTGCTGGCAGCACAGAATGAGAACTTGACTTTGTCACCTTCCTGATTCTTACCAGACTTCTTGGATGCATTATTAGCATTACCCGTAGTACTAGAATTACTCGACAAGACCGACTTGTCGAAGTTCTTGGGATTCACGTGACAGTCCTTCTGCATGTGCCCATTCTTACCACAACGGTGGCATTTGATGACCGAACCGTTACCATTACCCGAATTAGTATTGGATTTGTTTGACTTGTTACTACCAGCATTGAATGCTGTAGAATTTTTCTGAGATTTATCTCGCGTAACCGTTACTTGGGATTTCGAATCGATTTCTGCCTCCAGTAACGTTCGAATAATTTTCTCCTTGGTTAAACCACTCTCCATAGTTTTGAGAGAACTGGTAATCGGATTCCACTCAGTAGTACGAGGGATCGACCGTAACAGAACTACTTGATGTAGTTTATCCCAATCAAGTTCGCCAGATTCCTTCAAAGATTGAATTGACGCGTTGATGGTTGAAATATGAGACGACATAGACTTGGAAGAGTCATACTTGATCTCAAATAATTTGTCCAGCCGAATTAGAACTGAGTTCGCTGACTGACTTTGAAAATTTTCACCCAGAATTTTTACCATTAAAAATGCTGAAGGCTCACGGCCAACCATATTGGCTGCCTCAGACGAGAATTTGTTGACTAAGAGACTTCTGACTTTAACATCGTCTTTAGCTCTTGTGCTGGCCTCCTTGACACGTTGAGATTTCTGATCAGCTGATTCCCCAGCAACAGGTAGATCGTCTCGGTCACGAGTGATAATATATAGAAGATCCTTCGACTCCAAGTAGAGACGAACTTTCAGATAAAATAGTGGCCAGTTTTCAGTCGTTGCATCAAAGACAGGAAGTCCTTTGTATGAATCGTCTGACATTGTTGTAACTTGAAATATTCTGATGAAACTGAATCGTCCAAGTAGAATGGTGCTGATAACGTGTAGAAATATAGGCGCTGGAACACGACTATATAGCGATCTTCGTGAAGTTCTTAAAGCTTGTATCGATAGTTACTACTCTTTAATATATCAACTAAGGAATCATACAACTATTAGCGTAAGAAAGAAGAAGTATCATAACTGGCTAACCTAAGGATATACGCAGTCGATAAGAACAATACTGCAACAGAGAGCAAATAGTAGAAGATAAAGATCTGTTCTCAAGGGAGAAGCAGATGTCAAATACGAAACACTAAGAACAATGGTCAAGTGACCCATTGTGTGAATCAAAAAAACAGAACAAAGAGGTAGCTTGTAAAACAACTATCGAATAAAATGATTGGATGAAAAGACAGAGACTGAAAAACATCCAGAAGAAAGATGAGTGATTGTAAAGATATAATTAAGATTGGCAATGTGTAAATAAAGAATTACGCGTCCTACGACTGAATTCAACAGAGGTACTGGGTAATCTTGAGGAACTCTGGGTTGGTAGTATTCATGTCTTTCACATCATTTATGAGGTCGTCGGTGATCCTGAGTTCGGTAGTGTTCAGTAGCATTGAATCTGGAAGTTATAACAAGACGTGGGTGGCATTCTGGTAAAGGTCAACTTGAACTGAGGCATCTGAGGCAAATCATTGTCTTGAGAGGGCGTCAGCAACTGTGTTCCACTCCCCTGGTGTCCACTGGATCTTGAAATCGTAGGAGAGCAGATCAGCAAGCCAACAGTGGTGGACGGAGTTTCGGCTGGGTAAGGATGTGTCTGAGAGACTGGTGGTTGGCACAGGCTAGTACTTGAGAGCAACCATAGATGTAGGAGTGGAAATGCTTGAGGGATTCAACTAAGGCAAGGATTTCTCCCATGTAAGGGTGGCACTTGGACTCTTCTTTTTTGCACTTTTGAGAGAAGTAGGCAACTGGTTGTTCAATGTTCTTGTCATCTGGCTGGGCAATGTAACTGGCAATGGCACATCAAAGGCTTGGAGGGGTCGAACATTGCAAGCATTTCTGGTGAGGCAAGGGCTTTCTTGACTTGGCAGAAGTGGTGTCTGGCGTTGTCATTCCATTTCTCTTCAAAGGAGACGGTCTTGTGGTCACGTAGGAGGTCTGAGAGTGGAGCTATCAGCAAGGCATGGCAGTGGATGAAACGGTGGATGGTATTGGCTGAACCGAGAAATGATCGAAGTTCTGAGTAGGTTGTAGGTTCTTCAAAGTCTTGAATGGCAGAGGTACAAGTTGGTAGAGCAGAGATAGCACCTTGGTGGATATGGTAACCAAGGTAGTCAATTTATCTTGAAGGAAGGAGCACTTGTGGAGTCGTACATGGAGCTTATGTTCTTTCATACGCTTGAGCGTGAGGTCTAGATGCTTGAGATGGTCTTGGTAGGTCTCAGAGTAGGCAAGGATGTTGTCAATGTAGGTAGTGAGGAACTGGTTGATGAAGTCACGAAAGATGGAGCTGATTGTGCCTTGGAAGGCAGCTGGAGCATTGGCTAAACCAAAGGGCATTACAGTCCATTCAAAATGTCCATATTTTGTCTGAAAGGCTGTCTTGTGGATGTTGCTTTCAAGGATTCGTAGCTGGTGGAAACCTGAGGCTAGGTCAAGCTTGGAGAATACACGGGCACGGCAGAGGAAATCTGACATTGTAGGTGACACTGGCCGCAGAAATAGCAGATAGAAGTTCGTTGAATTGGGCAGTGTACAGGGTAGCAGACTTGGACTGGTTCAGTTTTTCCATGGCTTCAATGGCTTGTGGCAGGGTGAGTAGAGATCCAAAGGCTTTTTGGATCCATTCCTTGTATTGGTCCCAGGTCATGGAGGCGTGTTCAGATTCAGATATTCGGTGCCAGGAGATACAAGCATGATTGGTGAGACCTGCAGCGGTAAACTGCACATAGGTAGGTTGGCCAGTGTGAGTTCTGGTGGACAGAGACGGGGCAAAACTGTAGAGAAGGCAGATTTCAAGGGCATGATCAAGGTAGTCATCCAAGTAGTTCTGAAGTTCGTGGGCAGGCTTGAACCAGAGAAGACAATGGGCTTGACAGAAGGCATTTTGAAGTCTGGCATGGGATGAGACACAACAGTGGCTTGCTGGATGGTTTCAGGGGCGACAACAGTTGGCTGGACAGTAGACTGGACAGAGGTAGTGTGATGGCGCATGGCTTCGAGTTCTTGAACGAGAAACTGGTTGGTTTCAAGCAACTGGTTGTAGGCTTGGAGGACTTGTTGGAGCTGTTGCTCTTGGGAGGTAACTTGCTGGGACTCAGCAGGGCTTGTGGCTTGGTTCATTGGAAAGTCAGACATGGTAACGCTCTGATGCTACCAAATGTTACGGAATGGGCTCAGATTCCGAGGAGGTCTTAGAATATTCAGACGATAAGATGTTCTTTATTGTAGATCAGAGGAAGGTCTTTTATACCCGTATTCTTGGAATGTCGAAGAAAGAGATCGAAGAGTGATTAAAAGAAATGACACGTAAGAATTCGGAAGTCAGGGTTTCGAAGACTCTGGAAGTCAGGGTTATTTACGTTACACACAGAAGCAACGTGGCCGAGTGGTTAAGGCGATAGACTAGGGATCTATTATCCTCTGGATGTGCAGGTTCTTGTCCTGCTGGTTTCGTTTTCGTCTCTTGACCAATCATCCACGTTCCACAATGTGAGCAACTCATGCGCTGCCGTTTGTTGGTTCAACAGAGAGCGAAACGTGAGCAAAAAGGTGCCGGGATCTGGCTAACAACCAATTGTTATTATTGTTGCTGTTGTTGTTGCTCTAGTGCTAGCCAGGGCCCGTGCCTGGTGCTGGAAGGAAGCGTCAAAGACCAAAGAATGTTCGCGTTGGAGCCTTGGTTCATAATTCATAAATTTACGTGTCATTTCTCGAAAGTGCCAAAATCTCTCCACCAAAGTCCCACCACCAACAAGGTGACACCACCCAGCATTGTCCAGCCGGGCGCAACTAACTCAACACCCGCAATTCTTTACTACGCACGCCATGCTGAACAGATGGGTTGTGAGTACTCTGTTTGACTTGTCTCCTGCTCTCGCTAAACTGAATCATCGCTCGCCCCGCAGTCCGTCTCTTACACGTGCTAAAGCCGTTCGTGGCGTACATGCCTGAAATCGTATCCCCAGACAGAAAGGTAACATCACACCTCCTTTTATTCGGCTTTTTCGGTTTTCCAAAAGGGACCGCTGACCGCCGATTTTAACACATAAAACCGTCTCAAGATTGCATTCAGAGAGAAAGTCATGTGGACCGCAATCACCCTTTTCATTTTCCTGGTCTGCTCCCAAATCCCGCTCTACGGGATCATGTCCAGTGACACCTCCGACCCAATGTACTGGATGCGTATCATTCTTGCCTCCAACAGAGGAACGCTGATGGAACTCGGAATCACTCCCATCATCACCTCTGGAATGATCATGCAACTTCTTGCGGGAGCAAAATTGATTGAAGTCGACTACTCTCTCAAGGAAGATCGCGCGCTTTTCAGTGGCGCGCAAAAACTGTTTGCCATGGTCATTGCCGTTGGACAAGCGACGGTGTCTGTCTGGAGTGGTGTGTATGGAGACCCTAAGGAGATTGGAGCTGGAATTTCGTTCATTCTTGTGGTGCAGTTGTGCTTTGCGGCGCTTCTGACCATGCTGCTGGATGAGTTGCTGCAGAAGGGTTATGGTCTTGGATCTGGTATCTCGCTCTTTATTGCCACAAATATTTGCGAGAGTATTGTCTGGAGAGCATTTTCGCCGACCACCTACAATACTGGAAAAGGTATTCGTGTTTTCCTCTGATCTTATTCGCGCCGTCTCATGCTAGGTTTCGGGTTGTTTTTTCCAAAGGAATGGAATTCGAAGGTGCCGTCACTGCCCTATTCTACCTCCTTTTCACCCGCAAAGACAAATTCCGCGCTCTCAAAGAAGCCATGTACCGCAAAAATCTTCCCAATGTATCGAATCTCTTGTCCACGTTTTCCGTCTTTGCCTTGGTCATCTACCTTCAGGGATTCAAAGTTGACATTCCCGTCAAACACAGCACCCAGCGTGGCCAACAGGGCGCTTTCCCCGTCAAGCTGTTTTACACAAGCAACATGCCCATCATGCTCGTCTCTGCTCTCGTGTCGCAGTACTTTTTCATTAGCCAGCTTCTGTTCCACAGATTCCCTGAAAATGTTCTTGTCCGTTTGATGGGAATCTGGAAGAACTTTGAGGGTGTGCCCCAAGAGTTTGCCAGTGGTGGTGCCGCGTATTACATGAGCCCACCGAGAACTCTGAGTGCTGTTGGACAGGATCCTATCCACTTTTTGGCTTACTTGGCTTTCATGTTGATCTCTTGCGCCGTGCTTTCTCAAACCTGGATCGAAGTTAGCGGAGCCAGCCCAAGGGATGTTGCCAAGCAGTTGCAGGCCCAAGGCCTTGTCTTGAAGGGAGGCAACAAGGATCAGACTTTGTACAAGGAGCTGAAAAAGACGATCCCTATTGCTGCTGCGTTTGGCGGTCTGTGTATTGGTGCTATTTCTGTGGGTGCTGATTTGATGGGTGCGATTGGTTCTGGAACTGGTATTCTGCTGGCGGTCACGACCATCTACCAATACTTTGAGGTTTGTTCAATGCTCATTCGTTTGAGATGCCAATCAGCTGAACTTGTCACTCATCCCCTTGTTTTACACAGATCTTCATCAAGGAGAATGCTGAAGCTAACGGCCAGGATATGTTCAACTGAGGATCTCATTGATTCATTTTGAGGGGAGGGTCTGACTTTTTTTCATTCTTGGGGATGGAGCTGTCCATGCTTCATTGGTTGTTTTCTTCCAACAAAATTCTGCTTCATACTTGTTGTGTTCTTGTTTTTCTTCCAATGTTTCTCCAACTCTTTGTACACTCTTATGGTATGACTTGGTGGTGCCTTTTTTTTTTTTTTGTTCATGATTTGGAGGGAAGGGAAAAATAAAATGCACCAAGATTTCAAATGGGCAAATTTATATCTCACAAAATGACGGAAGGAGTCCCCAAAGATCAACTGGAGAACGTGCTGCGGGAGAAGCTGGCGGCAACACATGTGGTATGAGTGACCCCTGCGAGTGAATGCAGCGTGGCTGCGAGTGGGTATGTGACGCCATTTGCTGGTTTTGCAGGACGCCCAAGACAAGAGCGACGGATGCGGTCAAAACTTTGAAGTCGTTGTCGTTTCAGCAGCGTTTGAGGGAAAGAATCTTTTAGCCAGACATCGGTGATTTTATTTATTTTTTGCTTATTTTTCATGACGTCTTCTTCTTATCATGTTATTAAACAGGCTGGTGAATGACGCTGCTAAGGACGAAATCGCACGGATTCACGCTTTTTCCCAGGTTTTTTTTAACTCTGATCATCTCGGCGTAATTCAGGACCTTAATATGCTTGCTTTCACGTCCAGAAATGCTACACTCCTCAGCAGTGGGCCGACTTGCAAAACAAGGCCTGATCGACATTTACAGCACAATTTTATGGTATTTGGAATCACGTCAATAAAAAGACCGCGCGCGCAACAATTCCAAAAAGAAAAAAAAGGCTATCTGCCATAATAGCCATTGCTTGGTGGCCCAGGCTGTTGCCTGTATCCCATTTGTCCCTGTTGCTGGTGTTGCTGTTGCTGTGGAGGGAGTGCAGACGGTCGAACGGGCAATCCCATCTGCGACGGCATATTGGGTCTCATCATTGGCGCACCCGGACCTGAATTCCAACCGCCCATTCCTGGTGGAGGCTGCATCTGCTGCTGTTGCTGCCCATATGGCATTCCTTGGGGCATTGAATATGACGCTCCCATGGGTCTCTGAGGAAGACCACCCGTTGCACCGGGATATTGAGACATCCCAGGTCCAGACCTCATACCAGGCGGTCCGCCACCGCCGCTTGACGCAACAGGCGCTTGTGGTCGAGCAAAATATGCAGGATTCGCGCCTCCACCCCCCTGTGCCCTTTGCTGGTTTTGCGCTGCAGCTGCTCTGGCTTTTGCAGCAGTTGCTGCGGCGTCCTTCATTCGAGCAGCTTCCTGCTTTTTAAATGCGTCAAATAATTTGTCCAGACTCTTGTACACCATGTTTCGAAATTTGAATCCATCTGGGACAATTGTGATATATTCGTGGCGGGCAGAGCTCTTGTCGACATGTTGAAAGACGAGATACATGCATTGCGGTTTGTTTGGACAGTTGATGATGGCATATGATGACCGTTTCTTGGATCGCATTTCCCGGTCAACGAAGCGGACTGGTGGAATTCATTCAGACAACCTAAGTATTTCTGCATCAACCAGGCGAAGGACTTACAGGTATCATCCAGGGAGCCACTTTGAAACTTCACATGTTTACGCGCATCGGCAAAGTGTTGCGCCATGGGTTCGACATACATGGCAACAATTTCTTCCAAATCGTCAAACTTTTTGCCCTCAATCATGAGTGTTTTACCAAGCGTCCACTCATTATCCTTGTTTGTTTCTAGGATGTCTGAAAAAATCGAGAAATTTCAGCCTTTACCGTCAGCTGCCTAAACCCGGACATCGCCCAGAAACAATCTTATTAAGTACCGATATGCTGGAACACGCCCTCGTCCACTTTCCAAGTGATGCAGATGTGATCGTTTCCTTTCGTGGACGGCCGGATAATCAGACTTCCAGAACGAACACTGGGACCTGTCAGCTCGCTGATTGCTTCCTCATAAGAGCAGTTTTTCCAGAATGGATGGTTGATGGTTCGAGTGCGCTTTTGCTTTGGAACCACTTTGGGTTGAACTGGTCGTCAAAAATTATAAAAAGACGGGTTAATTGTTGCTCGTTGAAAGAAAACAGAAATGTGTCACCAGTCTTTTTTTCCTTGTCATCCATTTCCAAACCCACATCAAACTGCTTATCCCTGAGTTTGATGGACAAGTCATTCAGCCATTTGCCGCTGGCAACAGTCTCCTCCCGTGCGTCCAGCTCAACCTTGAATTCCTTCATTTCAATGCGAGTGACGACAGCTTGGAATGTGTCATTCTCCTTCAGCCGATTATCATTGCTCACAGGAGCCGCATTCAGCTGCAAATTCGCATCCAATCCACTCGATGTCAACCGACACTTGTAAAACCGGTCAAACACTTTCACAAGCTGGCACGACACACACATGCCTAGGAGTGATTCCTCAGTCTCTCCAGTCAGCATCGTGAAAATCTTTTCAACATCCGTCATGGTCAAACGTGCACGGAAATCGTAGTAAGGTTGGATGATTTCGTCCTTAATGTCGCGCAGAGTGAGGCGTTTCAAGTCTTGACTTGTTCGGAAGAGCTCTTCGGCAAAGTCATCGAGCATGAGGTTGTTGAGTCGCTCCGGGTGGTCATCCATGAGTTCGAGAATATGCCCGGATGGATCATCGGGATCAAACGCATTTTCGTCCAAATCCATTGCACCTGCAGCCATTTTTCGGGCGATATCGTAATCTTCGGGGTGAATTCGCGTGTTGTCCAAAACATCCAGGATTGTATTTGTCCGTTTGAAGTGGCGGCGGTGGATTTTGATGAATGAGGCGGCGTTCATGAAGATGACACGCCCTACCATCTTTTTAGTAATCAGTTCTGAGCGACTTTCTAATTTACCACCCTTTGGGAGATAAGAGA